TGCTACTGCTACTACCACCACCACTAGGACGACGACAACAACGACGACCACTATTGTTGCTACGACGGCCACGACCACAGTCACCAGTACTATTGCTGTAGCAAGTCCTGCTTCTGCAGCTGCGCTGTCCTGCAAGCAGCTGTTGCTTCTGCTCTGATTGCAGCTTACGTTCTTGTGCGATATAACGCTCTTGAACACAGAGGTGTCAAATCATGTCCTTGTTTCGGAAGCATCTTCCAATGCACCAAACTATTGGTTACACGCCAAACAAAGTAATAATGTAAGCATATTTGTCAGCAGAAGTTTTGCTCAATGCTTGGTGCGTCCCATCGTTGTTCCATGATGCTGAGATTATCAGGATACTGTGACGATGATGGAGGCTACTACTCGGTAGTTTCCTGCATTTACTATCATATGCCACAGCTCCGAAATTCATCATAGTCATGGCGGTCACGAGGCTGCGCTACGGTTTAGTAGTTTAGTCTTGTGAAGATTGACGGCTCCAGCCGGTGATTTTCCCACTCCACTCCCAGACGGGATCTTGGAGGAGGTGCCGCTAACGACGCATCGCAGAACGTTGCTCTCTCTTCCTCGGCTGGTTGGCAGGGATACATGGCCCATGGCTGTGGTTCAGTCTGCGAAAGTTTTTAGGTCATTGTCAAAGCTTCAGCAACACGAGGCAATGCTTTTGTAGGGCGAGCCTCCTTGGTGGGATGCAAGCCTGTATCGGTTGGTCAGAATGGCGCCTATCCTATCCTCACATGGTTAGATACAGTAGGCGCCATCACCATCACTGCCATCATCATCAGCCTCATCATCGTGATCACCATACGGTGGCATCAGGTTTTGATAGGGTTGCGTGCAATACGTAGAGTTCAAGAGTCGAAAGTGGCAACAAAACAGTGACGCGGAGTCTGAAGGAATACAAATCTACATGTAAGAGTTCTGAGTTCTGAATGTTCCGAAGACAACTCTTTAGTGACTGCCTGCTGTCCCTGTGGACCAGCCAAGCAGTACGGTACATTTTGAGCTTGCCAAATCTGACACGTGCCATTCATTTCATGACGAATTACCCTTGGCGTAACCCCAGTATCACTGGTCGCCACTCTGTTGTCCTGTATGAATCATACCGTATGAAGCGAAAACAAAGATCCCAGCGGCCATTAATATTGTTAGGGGGTCAGGGGGTGATGCCGATTGTTGGAGAACCTGCGCAAGGTCCAAGAGCACCAACATTGACAGGTGTGCGTGGCTCGTCCCTTTAAGGTGTGCTTTCTGTGTAGCACATGACATCCGATCGAAGGATAGGATCCTAGCTTCCTGTGAAGTTGTAGGATCCCATCAGGCTCCTCTGGAAACTCAGACCATGCGATCCTTTGTCCATTGCTGATGGCAGGCACTAAGCTCACCCCACAGACACGAAGACGAGAATGAAGGAATTACAGATCCAGTAACTACTATGCACCCGAAATGGCTAGCTCGAACATGATGCTGTAGCGTAGGAATCTATCCTTGGATTGCCTGCTTCATGCAAGCGTGAACAGTTTAGTCTGTGCTGGAATGACCTGCCCCAGTGTTTGTGCTTCTGGGCCTTGTGCGCTGGAGATAATGAGCGAAGCTGCGAGCACGCGGACTGCTGCAGGAAGGACTACCGAGTCTGAAAATGGATTTCTGAAAATGTACATTTTTGCAGCCCAGAGGGTGCGAATCGAATCGCTTGGCAGAGATAAGACATGACGTGACAGTCCTTGCGTGCCGGGTCGGAATCTAGATCGTCTTCTTGCAAGCATCTCAGTGCTCTCCTGGGGCTCGGTAGCGACTGGAAGCCGGCACCGTTGATAATGGTACGTGCAGCCAGCATTCCGCATCTCGCAGCCATCTACGAGCCTGCCAAGCAGCTTGGATTGAGCCTGTGCACCACAAGATGCTCTTGCGAGAGAGCATGGCATGTAAGCCATCAGCGGAAAAAAACAGCAGTTTACGCAGAACCTTCCGTCAATACAACCCAGACAGGCGTTTCACTGTGTCAGATCTCGGACTCTAGCTTCGGGCGGGCCACCACAGGTGGCTCGAAGTTCAGGCATTCCGGGTCCAAGGCGAACCTCACCAGGAACCCTGAGCTGAATGACACCTCGAAAGTTGTATTGAGCGGTTTTGTTCTGACGACGATGATAATCGAAGGTACTTGTGAAACCTGCCTACCTTCCCATTCCTTTGGTCTGCCGAGTGCGACTACTAGTAATTAGTGCATTCTTGTACTTCTTGTAGTGGGACGAGACCTGCGGAGCATGGGCTGCATTCAAATCCACTGCAGTATTCATTGCTCAAGGAAGAGTGCATGGGACGGGAGCCCCGGCAAATGTGCCACAACCCAGCACACCAGAGTTTGGAAGTTCGGCGTATCTGCGGTTCCCTGAGCTCACCCAACACTTTCCCACCCTAATCCTGTTTTTTCATCCCAGCCGGGCGTGCTGGCTATGTCAGCGGGGGAGTTGGAGCCTGGCTCTGCGAGCAGCGCCCTCTTGCCCGACCCGCTGGCAGGTGCGGGATGACAAAGGATGCAAGTTTGGGAGAGTTTGGGTGCAGTCGACCTTTCTCGTCACTTCACATCGCTCCAGGCATTCCGGTCAGCACGATGATTTCTGCCATGCGAGCAAGTGTTTTTCCTGCCGATGGCTTGCACTAAAGCCCTGGGCCACGACCACGCAGGATACACACTGCGGCCAAACCGAGTCTTTATTGACGTAACAGATAGATGTCTGGCTTGGGAAAAGTAAAAGTGAGCAGCTACTTGCAGGCGCACAGGACTTCCTGGTGATAAAAGCCTGTTTCCACGATTAAGGCTACCGGTGATGAGCCGCAAAAATGCCATTCGCTCCGTATCTGTATTGACACTGCCAGATTTGAAAGAACATCAGGCTTTTACGATCAGGTGACAAGAGTTGTGACAAGTTCACGGCTGTAAGGAAGACGCGACACATGGAGAACACAGATGCCAAAGCATGTTTTGCCGGATCCACTTGACTCAGTTGTGTTTAGATGCACAGGGTGTTGTAAAGCCTTGCGCTGGGCACGTCCAGAGGCCCACTTCGTGCTACGCAGCTTTTCGATGAAGCACTGAGACTGCCCCTCTTCTTCACCATAGAGGCATTGGGAGAAGCAGGGGAGAAGGCATGTATACTAAGGGTTTTAAGAGTTAAGAGCTTCTTTTTCTCCAGAAGTCTTGCGTGGTTTGCAGTCGACACAGACTATGGAAGGTGCTGTTCCACGGGTTCTATTCGAAAAAGTCCTTGGACATGTGTTTTCTGACTGCTATGCGGCTATGCCTATCAGTGATGACTGATGTGGTGGTTATTGTTATTGCAACTACGCCCAGCGATGGTGTCGTGGCTTTTTCAAACAGTTTTGCCAGCCTCGCATCCCAACAGCCACAACCTAAAGTGCTGCGCTGGCTTTTCCACTGCCCCTAACATGTTCTAGCACAAGCAGGTTTTTAAGACTTGGTGGACGGCCAGAAAGCTTGTGGGAGCACTATCCAGGCCAGAGACCCGGAANNCCCCCCCCCCCCCCCCCGCCCCACGGCGACAAATCGATTTGCACAAGGTTCATGAACAAGCCCGGTTGATTAGAGGCAGCACAGCCAACCGAAGTTAGAGTTGATCCACCCAGCTCGAAAGAATAGGAATGCTATTCCGTTGCTCCTTGCAGTTGTGTCATAGGATCTTTTGTTTCATTATTTCCGGTCCATGCTGCAGCCAAGACGACTAAGGATACAGGGGCTTCGTGCAGAGAAGACCCTCGCCGGGAGCATAGGCGCTGTTCTGCTTGTCAAGGAGCTGGGGTGAGCAGTCCATCTTAATGGGCTTGAAGAGTCAGTTCAGAATTCACTGTGCTTGACTAGAAGTCCTCGGCAAGTTGCTAGCCGTCTGCTGGTGGCTTGACATATGGGAGCCCTCAGCACGCCAGTCCATTGAGTCTTGACGAAGTGTACTGCTTCCGTGGTCCGTCGGTCTGAGTTGTCACTGTCATGCATCGGTATTGAAACGCAGGACAGGGCCGACGCGGACAGCCTGAATCTGCGTATCGATGAAGCCTATGGTATCACGGGCAGCAAGCTGTCGTGTGCTGCTTTGAGACGACAGACGGGGTAAATAGGTCACGAGAGACATGCAACTTCCCGATGGCCAAAATCACGCAATGAACACACGCGCCTTAAACCTTAATCTGGGGCAATAATAACTGTGGCTTAAGGTACCCAGCGCGTTAGGAGACACATGCCTAACCTCGTGCCCTGCTTGTGCGCAGACAACACAGGATCCTGGTTACTGAGGCACAGTTGACGATGCAGAAGCTGAAACGAACGTGGAGCACGCTTGTGCCTGGCCCTTGGTGATCGAGGTTTCTCGTGTGTTATGAAACGTCCCCAAGAGCGTTCCAGCTACCAATCTCCAAAGCTCGTCGTGTGCCTGCTGACAACCTCGTGGTGGCGAGGATGGACCGACGTTTGAGCACGATGCCATTGAGATTTGGGAGCCATTTATGCGTCAAGTTACAAAAATCACAGAGACATATGCAGCTATGAAGCTGTTCTCAGGCAACTGAGGACACATGGCTCAATGCGTTTAGGAAGCCGTTTCCCCGCCTGGTACCGGTACTTGGTCGCACAAGGGCTTTTAGCATCGGCCGAGGTTGCTGCTGACATTGATGGTTTCGTAGCTTGGCTGCACTCTACTGTAGAAGATATCGAACGCCTGTGCAGCTTTTAGCACGCGAAGGAAGTCTCTAGTTTCCGCATACACCAGGGTGACGGGCCGAGCAAGCAGCCGCTACATGACTCACAATCAACCAAAAGCAACTCCGCTCATTCCACTCTGCATCGCCGAGGTTGAGCAGCTTGAGAAGATGGTGCAGGATATATTGGTGGTTTGCGTATTGCCGTCGGCAGATCAGGACACGCTCCCCAGTGCATGTTTGGGTCCGACGGGGTTGGCCGCTCCCCACATTCCGTCTCCCAACCTGAAGGAGATTCAGCTTGAGCTGCCCTGTGCTGCAATGGAGCGCCTGCAGAGGTTTGGGATGATTGGATTCAGGGTAGGTTAGCAGTTTCGTACGACTCCGCTGTTCGGGTTTACGAAATATAAGTTGCTGGTGCACTTTCCGGGCCACCAACACAGCTTGCATTTGCTTGCTGGCTCTTGTCTATTCTGGCTTGTCGGGGCCGTCGGGGGCCACCCATAGCTAAGTCTCAGCAACGCTCGGCCCACAACCCTTCAACCAACTGAAGCCCAACACGTCACTTTCCGAAATACTTCCGATTGTGGTTGCTGCAACATGGAAGGTGCAACGTGTGGTTCTTGAGCGCTCAAGATGCCGCCGTGATATGCACCTCCGACGGACCACTCCGTCGCCAGGCATGGAAGCAGTCACTTCATCCCCGGTTGCCTTAGCGTGCCGATTGCTCGTCGAGAAACTCGATCTCATGCATTTGAATGCAAGCCCAAGCCAAGGTAGCAACATCCAGTTCGAGGGCATGACCTGCAATCTTCCGAGCCAGGCAGCTGTGCTCTTGTGTTTGCAGGGGAAGTCAGCACTCAGGGCCACTCGGGCCCCGAAGGGTTTGGCAGCTGCAGTGTGCCAGAACAGAGCTTCATGGCAGGCTGTTCTAAAGCATGTTCTATGTATGCTGGCTTCGTGGCCTCTACATGCGAAGTGCAACCACCTGCAACTGCTACTCCCGGGTGCTTTGGGCACGCGGCGTGCATTCGACAGAATATCGCGGTCAGAAGCTGCGTGACGCTGCAATGATGCCGTTGTTCCATAAATCTTAGCACATCCTTAGCACATCATTTTCAAAGCTCGCTTTTGACTTCGGGTGTTGTGCTATGGTTGCTCATATTATGTTTAACATCAATGCTCTGCGAAACAACCCACTGGCTGACTCCCACGTGAAACTTTACATGCACCAGGCCTCGATGCAATTGCCCGGCGAGGCGCGGATTCGTGCATGTTTGCAGGTCTCCACTAGGCCTGAAAGAGAAGCCGCGAGAGTTCTCCAAAACGGAGCTCCGCGGTGAACCCGAGCGACGAAATGGAGCCCGAGTCGGAAGATAGTAGCTAGAATTTACAAAGGCAGGGGCAGGCTCTATTCGTGTTTATTAATCGACACCTAGCCGGAGGCCGGAGGTCCGTAGCACTCCTCAATAGGAGCGTAAATGCCGAACGGTTTTGAAACAGGTACTGGTGGGCGGCGCAGCAGCCGCCACCGGTGCCGGTGTTGCTGCTCTGGCTCAGGTCGGTGTTTGCACTATTAGCATATAATTTGCCGCATGGGGTTGTTTGCTCGATTCGGGTTTCGTTTGTTCTGAACTGCGAGCTCGCTGTGAATCATCTCCTGTGCGGCTCCCCTGATCATCGACGTTCGAGCCTGTAGGGGCAAATTCGCCCGCTAGACGACGCACGAGATGGAACTGCACGAGCCTGTTTCGCACGTCATGCTTGGCTGATGATGGAAGCAAGCTTGACATCCATGCATGTCATACAAGAATCGAAAATTATGTTTCTGTCATATTATGGCATGTTCATGTGTATTGCAGTTCCCGTCTGGTTCACTTCACCATATCGCACCATGCATCAGCCAGGTAGGCACGCTGGCTGCCACGACCAACGGCATCGTGTGCCATTGCTTGACAAGCTCAGACTGTTGGTGACCTCACTCGCTTTTGGTTCATGCCACGGTGGAATTGAATCCCTGATGCACTGAACCGCATTTCGTCTCTGGGAATTTCTGGTTCACCGTTCTTCCTGGCAGTTGGCATGACAGACAGCAAGGCGAAACCTCCTCTGAGTAAGACCAGTACGACAAGAAATGACATGATGGAGCACCCGATAGGACCGAAGTCAATTCTGTACTCAATAAAGCATTTAGGTTTACTGTGCCAGGATCCTTCTGCCAACTTCCTATACACAATTCCTTGGACTGTTGTTGCAGCCATGTGCGTGGGCGTGGGAGTCAACAGTACCGGATGGAAGAAGTTGGCACAAGGATCTTGCCTTTTGTGCACGGGCGGCCGTATCACTTTAGGACGGACTTGGCAGGTTTCTTAGCTGATGCTGCCCTCCGAGCCTGTACTTAGTTATCATTGCAACACCCATGAATCTCTACAGGTCCTCCGTATCTGTGTCTAGAGTCGAGAGGGTTGCCCATCTGCGCACGTGATCAACAGTGTCGGCTACGGCTTGGAAGTGCAACCTCCAAAGCGCCGGACTGCCAGCATAATGGAAGCCGCCAAGCAAGGCGGGGTGCAGAACGAACTCTCCCCCTTACTATCTGCTGAGGCAAAAAATCGCATGAAGCCCCTTTTGCTGCGACAGACTGTAGAGTTTCAGTGTGTTCGTGAGCTTCTACCCGAGGTACGCCGTCACTGGTGGTGCTGCTGCTCTTTCAATCGGTGCGGGCTTTGCTGTGGTGGCTTGGCAAGGGAGATGGGCTTGCCAACCGCAGATTGTTGCAGCCATTGCTACTACGGTCGCAACATGCCACGCTAGCTTCATGGAATCCTGAGATTTCCTGAGCACGGCCTGCAACCATGTTCCGTCCTGATGGTTAGAGTTTCGTCGAGAATCACAGCGAGACGGGGTTGCAGAATTTGCACGTGACCCCAGCATTACACGGCCGTCACATGCCATGGGGCCTAGGGCCGATCCGATACTTAGATGCGCATTCTTGGCTGCAGAAAAATGAGAATCACAACAGCAGCCGCAGCAGGTCTTTAAAAGCGCATTGATCGGTGCTGGAGGTGTCCCCGTGTTGCATGCTGAAGATAGCTTCATCGAGACTCTCGACAGATCATGAAGCAGGTGGCGTCTGTGGGGGCCGTGGCCGGCCTCGCTGTTGGCTTGCCTCTGGCCATGTGTGTGCAAGGACGTCGGGGCTGCGGGGATGATTTGGGTTTCGGCCCTTGCACAAGTTGAGGCCCAATCCTTGTCTCCTTGCTTGATTCCGTGACTCTTGCGGTCCAAACATCATGAAGTATTCGGATGCGACAGGTGCAATGTCTGTGGAAACAGTCGTAGGGCATGTGCAGTAGCAATGACAGCAATGAACGGTGCTAACAGTACAGTTGCTGCGAAAATGGCAGCCAAGTGGATAAGAACACTGATCGAAGCACACCCATTGCTTCGGCAACTTGGAGGACGCAGCCATGGCGCAGCATCGCAAGACAAGGCAGGGTCTTACTTAAGACGTCGTGCGGGCGGCGGAGTTCGGAAGCAGTTACGGTTGATTTCGATGATTGCCAGTCCACAGTGCCATGCATACCTTGGCATTGGTCACCAATGCCAAGCGCATGAAATATTTCGTTTCGTACTGACTAAACTCCGTGCTCCAATTGCCGAAGACTGACACTCGATTTCAGCGGTCTGATGATGCCTGAAAGGATTGCAAGCATCGCTCATCCACCAAACGCTGCGGGGCCATGCGCCTCAATTTTTGCCAGAGCTGAAACTCTGCAAGACGAGTAGCCTTCCTGGTTGGGACCATTTGGACTACTGGGACTAACCGGCTGTTGTTTGCCTGGGCCTGGCAACATCTTGCCCTGGGCGCAGGTCGAGCTTCCAGCTACCTTCGCCTCGGAGGATCGCTGTGCATCGGCCTGTGCAAGGTTTTCGGCACCCGCGAACTCCGCTTGGTTTCTTGCTGCGCCCACCTCGGGCAACCGAGAAGCCAAACCGGTGAGGAAGTGAGCTTCTCACCAGCTTGAGATCAAAGACTCCGGACTCGCTAAGACAAGTGTGGCCCGAGAGTTGAAATTCAAGCTCAAGTGTTTCGATTCTGGATTGCTTCGGATGCGTTCTGCATTGTGCAATCATTAACAGGACTCAGGAAAAGTTCCCCATGTCTTCAACAACCAAGCCACAGAACACCAGATCTCTAAGCCCTGAAGCCCACATTGTGGGCCCACATAAATGTGGACTGCCTCTGGAGTTGAGCTGTCAATCATGCAGCTCGTTCAAACGGTTCAGGTCATCGTCAGTGTGGCAGTGGTGGTCGTAGTAGAAGCACTGATAGTAGTAGTCGTAGCAGTAGCAGT